GCAATATTGCAACAACAAGAACAAAGATGCTAATGTATCCTCAATTAAGTTTGATTCTTGTTATTTGCTTACCAAGGATGTTAATAGGGTGCATGCTAAATTTGTTGGTACTCCAATTATTAGCTCAAAGAAGAAAGCCATTTGAGTGTTAAAGAGCTTAGTCACTAACCTTCAAGGACCCAAGCAAGTGTAGGTACCTAAAAGAAATTGATCTTCTTTTATAGGTCAATTATAAAGCTGGAGGAAGACATTTGGTTCTTGATAGTGGGTGCACTCAACACATGGCCAGCGATGCTAGAATGTTTAACTCAATCAATACCAATGATAATGATGGTTATGATAGTATTACATTTGGTGACAATGGCAAAGGCAACGTCAAGGGGCTTGATACGATTGCAATATCTAATGACATGAGTATTTCTAATGTGTTGCTAGTTGAGAGCTTGAACTTTCATTTGCTATCCGTTACTCAATTGTGATCTTAGATTTAAGTGCATATTTTGAGTAGATGATGTAGAGATCATAAGTGTAGATGGTTCTAATTTGATGTTCAAAAGCTTTAGATATGGGAATCTATACTTAGTTTCAATACTAGTGAAACTCAATTGTCAACATGCTTGTTTACTAAATCTAGCATGGGTTGGTTATGGCATAAAAGGCTTGGTCATGTTGGAATGAAACAATTGAATAAATTGATTAAGCATGATCTAGTTAGAGGCTTGAAAGATGTGGTATTTGAGAAAAATAAGCTTTGTAACTCTTGTCAAGCCAAAAAACAAGTTGGTAACACCCATCCTAAGATGAGAATAATTAGTACTTATAAGGCATTTGAGTTGGTGCACATGAATTTATTTGGGACAACACAATACACTAGTATCGGTGGAAACAAATATGGCTTTGTAATAATGGATGACTTTATTAGATACACTTGGGTATTCTTTCAAATGGACAAAAGTGATGTGTTTGCAACTTTCAAGTCATTTGTCAAAGGCATTCACAATGAGTTTGAAATAACCATAAAGAGAGTTAGAAGTGGCAATGGTAGTGAGTTTAAAAACACTAGAATTGATGAGATGATTTTGGAATCAGACATTAATTCTCGGCCAAGTGCTGTCGGTGTTTATTGATCGGCAACTTGTCACGGAGTTACCCGGGACGATTGTTCGGGGTGCTTCGGCGTATGCAGAATTGGATGGTAAAAGCAGAGATAGTGATTTATACTGGTTCGGTCTGCTGAAATAGCGTCCCTACGTCCAGTGTGGGTGAAAAATATATTGCACCCTGTACTTGGGGTTCAGACTGTTGAGTCTGTTGTCTTTAGGTTAGGTGCCGATCTAGGGAGCCCTGTCCTCCTTTATATAGCCTAGGAGGCAAATCTCCTAGTCGGTTACAAGATAGGAGTCCTATTAGGATTACAAGGTAACAATACTACTAGAATTACATATAGAGAGTTCTGGTCAAACTAGGTCTTCGCCTTTCCTTACGGCGTATCCGGGGACTATGTCCCACAAGGCCCTGAGCTCTTCATGGTTGATCGATAGAAGTCTTCTTGAATCTCTTGGAGCATACCGAGTAGAATCAAGCTTGATCCGAGTACTAAGAAAGATACCATGATATGCTCTTGAAGTTTTCAAATGGTGTGCGCTTTCTTGAAAGCGTACCAATTCGGTGTAGCCCCCGAGCCTCTTACCGTTTAACATAAAGAGGTGGAGGGTCTTGTCTGCAATTGCTCTAATTCTCTTTGAAGAAATTTGAAAGCATCCGCTGAGAATATGTATCCTGTAGCCCCGAGCCTAAATCCGAGTACTCTATAGTCGGTTATAGAATCTTGTAGACATCCTCAAGGTGCATCCGGGTAACCTGCGTGGCGAGCTTTATAATATTTGAATTCGAGCCCCGAGCATAGTCGGGCCCATGCATCAACACGAGCACAGGCGTGGTCAGGAGACTGCCGGCGTAAGAATGCCGATCCCTCGGTGGCGAAGTTGAAAGTGCCAAAGCAGAACTCCGCTTTTGAGGCGAAGCGTGTACGCCGGCAGAGACTTGGATCAATCAGCCCGTCATGTCAGTGACCAATTTGATGTGGGAAACGCAGAGGAAGCCGCTCCCAGCTTGCATGCATGCAAGCTGAAGTATTCTAGCTTGTATGCTTGTATGTGTGATGGCAGAGATTAGTCGTTCGTCGTTTCTTGATCTCAGAATATTTAACTACATATCTGACTGGACCGTGACCAATGACGATGCCTAGACAGTATCTTTGCTGATCGTCGATCTTGGTAGTCGGTTAATATCTTGGTGTAGCGTAGTCGGAATGTCGCCGACTAAGCCGAGGCAATAGGCGAGCCCCTGATCTTAGTGCTGACTAAACCGTGGAGGTGAAAAAGTTTGATCGAAACAGCGGCGGAAGTAAGCAACACATCGGCAACAAGGTCACTCGGTGGCGGCGTAAACGAGTAACGTGTGGTTGAGCTGATGATGATCAAGCGCATCCGTGCTGATCTTACAAGCTTGCATCTTTTGTCATATGTTGTCCTTATGTTGATGTCGGGTCATGAATGAGCAACAGCCGTTCGATCCGCATGTGTATGACTCATGCATACATGCACGAATACATGAATCCTGGATATTTTCGTTATCTTTAGCTTGCTTGTATGTCGACGGAAGTTGTGCATGCATACTCGTACATTCATGCGGTAGCAAGGAGTAATCCGATCAAGCCTTGCATGTGAGTAGTCAGCTGAGGTCATAAGTAGTCAGTTGTCGTCGTGAGTAGTCGGCTGATCGTTGCATGCTCGATCCCACCCCAAGTAAGCGTCGGTTGCATATTTGGGAAACTTGAGATTAATGCCTGTGGTGGTAAATGCAATCGAGTGTCAGGACACATCCTGATGTCGTACAGAGCAGGCCAAACCGAGTAGTATCATCAGTTCGGAAGGCAGGCTTCTGGAGGACGCCGAGTAGTGTTAGTACCCAGCTCCCGAGAATGGTAGCCGGAGGAGCTGCAGGAGCACGCCAAGTCGCCGTCCGAGTAGTCGTAGCAGCCAGCCCCCGAGGGTGGGAGCCAATCCAATTGAATGGTTTGTTCGTTGGTTGGTTTCTAGGCTGATAAGTCTGACTGGTACTGATTTTTTGTGAGAGGAAAACACTGTTGTTGGCTGGTAAGTCCTAGCTGATACCAATAAGCGAACAGGGTGGAAGAGTCGGCATGTCGCCGAGTCTGAGTTGATGTGCAGCTGGACAAATCATCCCGTACGTGCATGTCTTGTAGGTGCAAGCCGACTAGCTTGCACGTTTCCACGGCGAGTGCAAGCTCTTTGCTTGCGAGTAACAGATCCACACACAGAAGCATGTGTATGAGAGGTTTGAGACGTCCGCTTTTGGTCTCCGAGTATTATACTTCCAGGTTTGAGGTGGACATGTTCATCAGCTGAAACTGCTCCACACGGCAGAGTAGACCGCTCGGCACCGTACAGCACAAGGATCTTTTCCGAAAGCTCATGCGACTCTGGATATTGTCGAGGACGTCGAGCCTTATCACAAGTCGTAGAGCGAAGCAGCATGAGCCCGCCCTGTGATGCCGAGTTGACAGAGATGTTTGTCGATCTTGGTGTACGAGTACATGCCAACCTCGGTACAAGTATTAGCTTGCGTGACTCTTGGCAATTAGCTTGTAGTGTTCTTGTAGATGTATATACGTCCTTCTTTGTGGTTGAGGGACAAAGATGCGTGGACCCCGGCCGCATCCAGGTTGGCACTTGAGAACTTAGTCGGTATCCGTGATCTCGCAGAGCCAAGACCGGCCTCGAGCCGGGTAACAACACCGCTGAATAGCTATAGACCTTCATGAAGATCGAGGGAGCCGAAGTTCATTTGCGAGACGCGGAGTCGCACTGGAGACTTTGGGACTGCTGCTTGGATCTTGGATCATGACTGACTCGGACTTTAGGAGCATGCCGCGTAATTTTGGCACCCGTCCCCCAAGAATAGAAGCCAGCAGGAAAACGAGCCCCCGAGGTTGGGTGCTAGCTGAGTCTACCCTACTCACTATCTTTTATTTTCTACGTCCACACAAGAAAACGACCTTTTCGCTGGATGTCCCCTCTAAGTCTACCTCAAAAAGTGTACCCAGTAAAACAACACATTTCAAACGAACCGTCCAGATGCACTTTAAGCCTTCTCTCTCCTTACTCATTACACAATCGAAGACCTGGATTGAGTGTATCAAATCTCCTCATTCTTTCCCACACCCACGTCATGCAGCCCCCACCGAGTATTATGAACGCCACGCTGCCAAAAATCACGGAACTTCCCGGACACGCACGGAGGCGGAGGAGGTGCTGCTACTCCTGTCGCGGTCGGCGGAGGAGGCGAGTAGGCGGTGATCGCGCGCAGCCGCCGAGGTTGTCGCGAGCGAGGATCAGGGTGCACCGACGCCGTCGCATATGTCTCGCTCCTGCCGCGATCGTCGTCTCCCGCAGCCACTACGATCGCGCGCGCGAGGAGGACGCGTGGTCGGCAAGGTGGTCGCGAGCGAGGAGATCAGGTACGCCTGTATACTTCGATCGTCAAACATGTTGCTGCCGAGATGGATCCATGCCGCCGTATATATGTTCCATGCCCAGCTCCTGTCTTTGTTCTGATATCGCATCTGAACACATGCATACACCTAACTGCGTATATATACGTATAGATGCATATAGGGTACATGAATTTTTTTATCTTTACTTTTGATCATAGTATATATGAAACTAAAAATGCAGAATTTTTTTCCGAAGTACTATCGGTCACTTGCCGAGGCGGTTCAGATGTTCAGAGATGTAGCAAGTACGGTAGGAAAAATTTTCATCTTCAAATTCAGAGGTTCAGATTAGCATTTAGAGGTTCAGATTAGCATTTAGGCGGTTCAGATGTCAGTATTCAAATAACCACTGGCGGCAAGATATATCATGGTTCTAATGGACATGTCTATTATATTATTATTACTGGCCCTTGACGGCAAAATGGGGACGCCAGGAGAAGGCCGCACTACGCTCAGCGATGTAACGAACATACCTACTCCAGGTATTTTCATACACTCATATTTTTTATATAAGCCATCATCTATAAAAGTATATAAATAAACAAGGCCATGTCAACAGCTTGCAGCGAAGAACAACGCAGGAGAGAGGAAATGAATAGAAAACAACGTGAGTACCGCGCTAGGATTAGGGCTCAAGAAACAAGCGAGCAAAGGGAGGAGAGAAATAAGAGGTAGCGGGAGTACCAGCGGGACTACCGTGCTCGGCGAAATGCACAAACAACGGCACCTCCTAATGCACTAGATCAGCCAGGTGCTAAAGAATGGTCTTTGCAGGTCATCTGATTGCTATCTTTTTATTATTAATATTACATACTGACCTTGTCTTATTACTTTAAAAGCAGCGCAATATCCAACTTATGGGACAACGACATCAGCCGTTCTGCAATCAATTAATGAATGATATTTTTTCGCCCCAAACATGAATTCTTTTGACGTTAATATGACTCCATGTACGTCAATTCAAGGAGTGCAAGAATCACCATTTCAGACGGGGAATTCCGGAATTTTTACTGGCCCAACCTCGGTTCAGGACAAAGAAAATCAAACCCCATGCGAAGCTTCGGAATGGTTGCGTCGAAATGATAACTACATCAGACCAAGGCAACAAGTATGTGGGGATATCGCAATGGAGCCATCTGCTCAGATGGTTCAGGATTCAGGTGAAACAATAACTGGAATTTTATAGTACCTACTAATGATGCTTTTTTCCATTTTTACGATTTATTTATATCTCACCATTTCAACCAAATGATTAAACAGAATCTAGTTCAAGTGCCAATCAATTGCGGAGAAATAGAGAAAGGTACAACAATCTTGAAGAATCGATAAAACAAGAATTATTGGATAAAATGCGAGGCTATACAAGGGACAGGATAAATATTGCACATCAGTCCATTCAGCATACTCCAAGCAGCAATGCCCAGCCCACAAGTTGCTTGATTCATTTTTGTTCCAATCCATAGTTTCATATATGTAAATTTATGATGTTAATTATATAACTTTAACCTATAATAACTACTATACAGATGGGACACCAGCTCTTCGCACGTTACATGCAAACATCGATCGGGTAGATGAATATGACACTACCTTGTTCCAGCCGGCAAACAACGATATACAAGAATCTGATGACGAAGGAGGTGGGTTGCTTTTTAATGACACAAACATGACTGCACAAGAGTTAGTTTTTAACATACCACGTGCTGCCCATGCAACAGATCCCCGAGAAGACATGGAACATCAGAGCGATGACGACGAAGCTAGGCAATTCCACAGCGAAGGTATCGCCTCACGTCGACCATAAATCATTGTGTTTATATATATATATATATATATATTAATTTTACCACGTGCGTTCGTAACCACTTCATAACTCTCATGCAGATGACCGATATGAGTCATACCGTATATATGCCAATGGTGTTGCTGGTACTGACGCTGATGATCCGTACGACTATGTCTACCATGATATACCAGACCAGCACCATGTTTTGAAAAAGGTGCCTAATTGCAGAAACTGTGGGGCCATACGGTTTGAATATGAACCGCTAGGGTTTTGCTGCAGAAGTGGAAAGGTTAAAGTGCATATTCCTGAAGTGCTGGCTGATTTAAAAAGGTTATTTACTAGCCAGGTAGATGCTGATGCAAAGTATTTCAGAAAACACATACGTTACTTCAACTCTCATTTCTCTTTCACGACCCTTGGGGTTAGTGTGGATCGTCGTGTTGCCACCGCAGCAGGCACTGGTATCTATACATTCTGGGTGCAAGGTTCCTTGTACCACCGACTTCACCACTTGGTGCCAGGTTCCAAAGGGCCACGTCACATGCAACTATATTTTTATGATACAGATGATACCTTAGCACATAGGACATGGAGATCTCCTGACCTGGATATCAACCTCATAAGAAATATTCTTAGGATATTAGTGGACAATCCTTATGTTCAAACATTCAAGAGGGTTGGGGCCATACCAAATCTTGATGACTATGTAATTGAGCTAAACACCAATGTCACGCCTGACCAAAGGAGGTACCTTCTCTACCACACTACATGAGTTTCTGTTGTAGTTACTACCTAAGCTTATATAATTTTGTAGATTATATGTTCACCCATGTTTCGCTATGTTTACAAAGGTACAATGCACCGACGACATCACAGGTTGCTGCTATCTGGACTGAAGGAAATGACCCACAGAGATGCTTTGATAGAAGTGTGCTTGCGTATGCAACAGGAGATCGGGCACTGTATATTAAACTATACCAGGGTTGTTATGATCCATTGTCATATCCTTTATATAATTCTGGAGGACAGACTGGTTGAAACAAATTTATGCCCTATACTGACACACCTATCATCCCTGCTACTACTCCACGTGACACAATGGCGGACACACCAACTTATGTGCAAACATTAGAACATGACCCCACAGGTTTAGACAAATCCTTATATTAATTGAAATTTATATCTAACTAACTCATGTGCTACAGAGTTTCCCTAATAATTTTTCTTGCTACATAGATGATGCTGAAAATGTCGCTGACATACAACAAGGTGAAAACTTGGGTAGCCTGATGGAGGAAAATCAATCTGGAAAATATGTCACTGCTCGAGAATACTATTGTTTCTTAATGCAAGTTCGGCGGGGTCTTTTTAACATCCTGTTGTTTGGAGGATGACTATTCCAACAGTGGGCTGTTGACATGTATATAAAGATTGAGTCTATGAGGCATGATTGGTATGCTAACCCAGCAAACCAGAAACTCATACGGGCGGAACTATATCAGGTGAGGCAAATGTTTTCTTTGCAAAATATGTCGTATACTACAACTAAAAAATGACTTTTTTATTATTATAATTATAAAAGTCGATCATTGATAATTGTGTTCATGTAGGGTCTGGTTGATGATGTTTCAAATGGAGAAACCAGGGCTTCTGAAGTTGGCAAGAGAATTGTGTTGCCACCTTCTTTCCCGGGCGGTGATCGTGACATGATGCGACGGTACCTTAACGCAATGACCATTGTGCAGCGTTTTGGCAAACCAGATTATTTCATCACTATGACATGCAATCTGCAATGGCCGGATATCACAGAAAATCTAGAGCCTCGTCAGGAACCACAAGATAGACCTGACTTGGTGGCAATAGTATATAGGGCCAAGTTACGATCATTGATGGATTTGTTGACCAAGCAAAAGTACTTTGGAGATGTTGTAGCCTATGTGCATGTCACGGAGTTCCAAAAAAGGGGTTTGCCGTATGAGCATATCTTGTTAATTATGAAATCAACAAGTAAATTGACAAACCCTGATGCATATGACAAGGTTATTTGTGCAGATATACCAGACAAGGACAAGTACCCAGTGTTGCATGGACTTGTGATTAAGCATATGCTGCATGGTCCGTGTGGAGCCTTGAATAGAAAGTGTCCTTGTATGATTGATGGAGCCTATCGATTTCAATATCCACGGCAATTTTGTGATGCAACACAATAGGGCAAAGATTCGTATCCTTTGCATAGAAGGAGAGATGATGGATGTCGAGTGAAAATTAGAGGGGCTGAGTTAGACAATAGGTGGGTGGTGCCATACAATCTAGGACTTCTTATGAGGTATAATTGCCACATGAACGTTGAAGCATGCTCAAGCATCAAAGCTTGTAAGTACCTGTTCAAATATGTATACAAAGGCCATGACCGTGCTTCATTCTCAATTGAACCTGCTGGAGTTATCAATGAAATCCATCGGTACCGTGATGCACGATACATATCACCCCCCGAAGCTGTATACAGGATTTTTGGTTTTCATCTTTCTGGTGTATATCCCTCAGTTTTGCAGCTCCAGTTACATCTACCAAACATGCAGTCTGTCATTATTGAAGAGTCTGAAAACCTAGAAGATGTTATCCATAGGCCATCTGCCACTAGGACTACACTCACGGAATACTTCAACATGAATCGTGCTGATAGTTTCGCAAGGACATTATTATATAGGGAGTTCCTAGAACACTACCGGTGGATCAGTGGTCGCAAGGTGTGGCAAAGAAGAAAGAAACAGCTAGGACAGATTGGTAGGGTTGTGTATGCGCACCCAGCAGAGGGGGACAGATATTTCTTAAGAGTGCTCCTAAACCATGTAAGAGGTGCAACCTCATTTGAGGATTTAAGAACAGTGTCTGGCATCACATACTCTACATTCAGAGAAACATGTGAAAAGAGAGGGCTCATTGAGACAGATAAGTCCCTTGATGATGCCTTGAGTGATGCTGAAACTTTTCAAATGCCAGCCGCACTACGCAGATTATTTGCAACTATACTTGTATTTTGTGAGGCCACCAACGTGCGTGAGCTATGGGAAAAATACAAAGAATCAATGTCCGAGGATTATAAAAGAGACAATTGTAACACAGCTATGGTCGAGCAAATGGCACTGAGAGACATTAGAGAGATGATTCAGTCGATGGGGAAGGAGTTTAGAAGTTATGACCTTCCTGAGCTCAATGATGCCAGTAAGTTTCATACAAACTAATTCCATCCCTTTCTTTATTTCTTCTTCTTCTTCTTTTGATAAATAATTGGACATTTTTTAGCCTGATTACATTTTCCTCGTTCCATCATAACTGACTTGTATTACTTTCTATCGATCAACAGTTGAATTTTCCAATGACACCATGAGAGAGGTCAGAGAGGAGCTTTCCATACAAGTGGACCAAGAAGATCTGGATTTATATAAGTCACTTAACATCGACCAGCGAGCAGGATTTGATGAAATTATACATCATGTATTCAATAACAAGAGCCGAGTGTTCTTCGTTGATGGTCTAGGAGGAACAGGAAAACATTCCTATACAAGGCGATTCTTGCCACAGTGCACTCGGAGGGATTAATAGGAATTGCTACTGCAACATCTGGCATAGCAGCATCAATATTGCCTGGAGGACGCACAACACACTCAAGATTCAAAGTCCCCATTACACTTAAAGAGAGTAGCACGTGCACCTTTTCAAAGCAAGACGGCACCGCTAAGTTACTCCGTATGGCGTCCTTGATTATATGGGATGAAGCTGCTATGATAAGGCGTCAAGAAGTGGAGTGTCTTGATAGGTCTCTCCAAGATATTATGGGCTACACCTTGCCGTTTGGGGGTAAGGTTATGGTGTTTGGAGGAGATTTTAGGCAGGTTCTTCCGGTAGTTCCACGTGGAAATAGAGCACAGGTAACTGATGCATCATTACAAAGATCTTATTTGTGGGACAATATGCACAAGATAAGATTGACACATAACATGAGGGCTCAAACTAACCCATGGTTTTCAAGTTACCTCCTTAGAATTGGTAATGAAACTGAAGAAACCATCAGAGATGATTATGTTCGCCAGCCAGAAGATATTGTGATTGGTTATACACATGATAATGAAGATTCTATAAACATGCTCATTCAGAATGTTTTCCCATCACTTGTGCAAAATGCGAGATTAGCACAATATATGAGCACACGTGCCATCCTTTCAACAAAAAATGAGCATATTGATCAACTAAACTCAAAGATGATTGCCATGTTTCCAGGTGTGGAGAAGGTTTATCATAGCTTCGACTCTGTTGATGATGATTCAGTTAACAACTACCCAATTGAATTTTTGAACTCTATTACTCCAAACGGTCTCCCTCCACATGTGCTGAAAGTAAAGACCAACTGCCCTGTTATTCTACTCCGCAATCTTGATCCTAATAATGGCTTGTGCAATGGAACAAGACTAATGGTTAGAGCATTCCAAGACAATGCAATTGATGCATAAATTGTTGCTGGGCAACATCAAGGAAAGAGAGTGTTCATAAGTAGGATCCCTATGTCTCCATCCGATAATATTTCACTCCCATTTAAGTTGAAGAGGAAACAATTCCCAATTTGGTTGAGTTTTGCAATGACCATCAATAAAGCGCAAGGGCGAACCATTCCAAATGTTGGAATATATCTTCCAGAACCTGTGTTCTCACATGGACAACTTTATGTTGCATTGTCGAGGGGTGTGTCAAGATCAACGACAAGAGTTTTGGTGAAACCAAATCAGGAATTAGATTGCAACTTCACCAAAAATATTGTTTATAAAGACGTCCTAAACTGTTGACTAATGGTGGGTGTACTCAAACATTTTCTATTTTTATTTAGTATTGAATTTTTTTAAACCACAAATAATTTGTGACGTCGCACTCTTTCCAGGATTGATGCCTTCTCAACCTTTGCTTACTCCATGGGACATACGACCTTATATCATCGTTAATTTATAATGTAAAAATAATATCATGTCAGTTTTGTAATATGCCATATACGACCTTATTGTGCCTTCTTATGAGTGTGCTACAGAATGTATGATTAAATATAAGTTTGTGACTGAGACTATTGGAAAAAAAATTGTTTGTTTATTTTCATAATGTAAAAATAATATCATGTCAGTTTTGTAATATGCCATATATGACCTTATTGTGCCTTCTTTTGAGTGTGCTACAGAATGTATGATTAAATATAAGTTTGTGACTGAGACTATTGGAAAAAATTTCTTGTTTGTTTATTTTTATGTGAGTCACGTAAATGGAACCGTTGCGCTAGGTGAGGTCCCTTGACCATGGTCCTCTGTTTTCTCTTTTTGGGTGTGCGTCGTGGCATTTCCTACCCTGTCTCAAAACGCTTCAAGATAGCACCCAGTGTCTGCTGGCCGCTGCATGCCTGCATGCTTTGACCGAGGAGGCGAGTGGCTCTAGCCTTCACGTTGCCAGCGAGGAGCAGATGGGATCGCTGCTCGCTAGCATCGCGCGGCACTTCGTCTGGCAGCTCTGCGTCACGCAGCGTGGAGCAGTGCTAGAGTGAAGGACGGGGGATGTTGCGATGAGGAGGCTCAATGCCTGATGGGCTCTTCTCTGTTGGGCCATTGGCATTTGTTCTAGGCCTGACGTAGATATGTAAGATGTGTGCAACGATCAGCACGACCACCGACACTCGCGATCAACGCGCGACTTCGAATCAAGGGAGCCCCGCCCATAGTCCACGTCGGCCCTAGCCGCCGC